GGTGGTTAATGAGACTTCCTCCAATCCTGATGCCACGTTTTTCTTCATAGAACCCAGCCTCTCGTATTATTTGCTCAGCATACAGGTTGAATAAGTATGGTGAAAGAATGGTAGTGTAGTGGTTACGAATCAGGCTATGAGCTGCAAGGTCAGTAGTTTGAAACTATCAGCGGTTCCATGGTAGAAAGATGAGGCTTTCTGCTCCCGTAAAGATTCTCAGCTTGGGAAACCCTGTACAGGATCGCTATGAGTCGGAACTGACTCCACAGCACACAACAACAACATATCTAGGAAGACTTGTGGTGTGGCACTCTAGGATCAGCACTGGACTGCGAATCAACAGTTCAAACCCACCAGCTGCTCCTCAGAAACCCTATACAAGGTTGCTATGAGTCAGAACCAATTCAGTGGCACTTAACAACCATAACACAAGTAGGAAGGAGCTAAGTTGGAATTTTAATTCAAGTCTGTCTGATTTCAAAACTCATACTGTTTCTCCCCCTGTAACCTGCTACCTCGTCCTCTCCTTGCCCGAGGTCAGACAACCAGGCGTCTTTATGGACGGGTTTACCCTCAGTCTGACCACTTCATGGCTGCTGCTGCTACTGCTATAATCCGAGCCACCAGTAGCTCCTGGCCTGGCCTGGTCTCCCTACTCCAACCCTTCCCAATAGCCTGCTCGGAGCAGCCAGATGATCTTTCAAAATAAGCTGCAAGATAATCTCTAAAAAACCCAAAATCGGTCATTTTACTCCTCTGTTAAAAAATTCTCTCATGATTTCTCATCTCTTTCAAAGTAAAATTCTACAAGTGGGCTTCCAAAAGTTGCCAGAAAAAAATCCATTATTTCTTCATTCTGTTTTTTTCACCAGTTTTTTGAACTGGTATATTCCTACATGATCCACACTGTTCTGTTCTGATTTCAAACATTCCTCATTATCTGCCTTTCCCCAGACCCCACCCCCACCCCAAACTTCTTGAACTGTATGTCCTACGATTCCTGTTGCCCCTCCCTCCCAACCCAATGCAGTCTAGTCACATTGACCTCCTGGTTGCTTCTTGTGCTCAGATACACTGAGCACACTCCCACCTCAGGACCTTTACACTTGCTGATCCTTCAGTATTTAAAAAAAAAAAAAAAAGGCTCTTCACCCACTTATCTGTCAGCTAGCTTCCTCCCTTACTCAGATCTTTGCTTGCATATGGTCTTATCAGGGACTTTCCTTGATCAATGGAACTCTAGAAATAGCCTCCATCAATCTTGCCCTTTACCTGAGCTTAGTTTTCTCTTTCCTCTTTATCATCACCTAATATTGTTGACTGTCTGTGGTATCCCCACTCTCATCACAAAAATGTAAGCTCTGTAAGATAAGGGGCTTTGTTTGGGACCACAATATTCCCAGGGCAGTATTCTAGTCGGCACTCAGGAAACATTTCTCTGTTGTTGTCAAGTGCCGTTGAGTCAGTTCCAACTCACAGCAGCCCTGGATAGGGTTTCCGAGGAGTGGATGGTAGTTTCATGTGGTTCAAACCGAAACTAGATGTCCAGTGCTGATCCTGCATTGTGACTCCTTTCCTGCCTTGTGTGATTGGAGGTAGGGTGTTTATAGGATTAAAGAAGGCCCTCAACAAGATGGGCTTGCACGGTTGCTGCAACAGTGGGCTCAAGCTTGCTTGCAGGCGAGTGTGAGCATGGCTCAGGAGTCACTCTTTGGTGCACTGGGATAGCTAAGTCGGAAGTGACTTGATGGTACATCACGACGTTTAACCGACATGACATGTTAGCATTGGTTTCTTTAGAGTAAAGAGTAAGTACTTGGCAAGTAGCTGATGGTGGTGTTTGGTTGCTTGTTAGTTCTAAGTCGTAGTGACTCTGTATAAGGTTTCTGAGGCTGTAAATCTTTGTGGGAGCAAAAAGCCTCATGTGTCTCCTGGTGGATTCAAACTGCTGACCTCACCCACTAGGCTATCAGGACACCTTAGGCAAGTAGCTGGACCTGTACATTTGCTTTGTTTAGATGTTGTTGTTAAAGTGCCATCAAGTGAGTTCTGACTCACAGCGACCCTGGATACAGTTCCCGAGACTGTATGGGGCTAGAAAGTCTCATCTTTATCCCGTGGAGCAGCTAGTGGGCTCGAACCACTGACATCATGCTTAGCAGTCCAGTGCGTATCCTACAGAGCCGCAGTGCTCCTTACATAAGCTCAATAATGTCTAAATTTTTCATTTAAACTCCCAGCTTACATTCTCAACATCTAGGTGTCATTTTTTCCTCAATGACAGAAGTGGCCAGGAGCCCTAGTACTGGTCTTCAGGGTTGTGGGTGGTAAAATGTTCCGTGTTCTGTTATCTTTTAATACACATTTTGCCTGGACCTCAAGGTCAGTGTGAACCACAAGGTCGGTGGTTCAAACTCACCAGCCGCTCCTTGGAGGGTCGCTATGAGTGGGAACTGACTTGACGGCGCTTAACAACAACATGTCCAGGTACTGTTGTAAGCACTAGGAGTCCATCTTCTCGGAGCTTACATAAATGCTGTCCAGTAACTGGACACCGTTTCCTGTACTTTTCAGCCTTCATCCTGCACTTTCCAACGTATGCACCATATTGACCACATGCAATTCCCTGAAAACACCACGCTGGCCCCATAACCCCAAATTTGTCTTCCATTATTTGTTTATCTGAAAAATGTCTCCCCTTTACTTGTTGTTGTTAAGTGCCATCGAGTCGGTTCTAACCCATAGC